TGTTTTCAGTTTCCTGAAGGTTTGATTCATAGAAAGCAACAGACGGCGACCCGAGAGATGTTCTGAGCCCGAGAACCTCGCAACAAACAGAACTTCAGAACAAACAGAACAAACAGAAGCAGCTGCTGAATTTAAACCACAAACTGCTACAAAAACCTTCATTTAAACTCTTTCTGGTTGTTTATTGTCTTTTTGGGTCATTTGTTTGTTATTTTATCCATTTTGTGTGTCTTTGTGTTGGTTTTGTGTCTTTTTGTGGGTCGTTTCACATCTCTTTGGGGTTTATTTGTCTCATTTCGGTTGTTTTTTTAGTCTCTTGCATCTATTTTAGTAATTCTGTCCATTATGTTGGTTGTTTTTGGGGCCTTTTGGGTCATTTATATGCCATTTTGCTCATTTTGTGTCTCTTTGTTGTCATTTCTTGTCGAATTTTTGTTGTTTTTGAGTCTGTTTTGGTTTTTTGTCTTTAATGTTTGTCATTCCTCATCTTGTTTTAGCCATTTTGCACGTCTTTGTGTTGGTTTTGTGTCTTTTTGTGGGGGTTTCACATCTGTTTGGGGTTGTTTTGTCTCATTTATGTTGGTTTTGTTGGTCTCTTGCATTTATTTTTGTAATTCTGTGCATTATTTTTGGTTGTTCTTGAGTCTTTTTGGGTCATTCACATGTAATTTTGGTCGTTCTTCATCTGATTTTGGTCAGTTTGTGCGTCTTTGTGATCACTGGACACTAAAAACCTTCATTTATGGTCATTTTTCTGTCTCTTGTGTCCTCTTGTCATCATTTGATACCTCACTTTGGTCGATTTCAGACTCTTTGTGGTCATATTGTCCTTTTGTGGTATTTTTTAGTTTTGTTTTTGTTTTTGTTTTCAGTAAATTATAATCATTCTGTTTGTCATTTTAGTTGTTTTTTTGGCCTTTTTAAGAGATTAATGCATTTAATTGAGTCATTTTTCTTCTATTTGTGTTTGTTTTGCGTCCCTTTGTGGTCGTATTGTCTCATTTTGATTGTGTTGTTGTCATTTTTTGGACAGTTTGCATTTTATTGTGGTTCAGTTGGTGCTTTTCATCCCTTTGTGGTTGTTTTGTTCCATTATGATCGATTTTGGACTCCTTGTGGTTCCGTTTGTGCACGTTTTGGTTGGTTTTTGGTCGTTTTCTCATCCTTTCTGCTCAGCTTCGGTCATCCTGAGTCGGCTGCGTTGCTGCCAGGCGGCTTTAAGAAGCCGAGGGAGGAAACGCCGACATCGATTGGATCCAGGTTTTTGCCTCCACATCGTCGGAATTAAAAATACTCAAATTAATAAATAAAAATCATTCATGGCGTCGGTTTGAAGAGCAGCCTCGGTTTATTTCTGACTTGTGCAGAGTGGGAACTACACTCATGAATACTAACCGGTCCTTCCTCTCTGGCAGGTTGTGATTATGGGATGGCGGGGATTCAAACCGACCACCCTGTGGGAGCTGGCAGGCTGCTCGCTGGCTGCCTGGCTCAACAGGCGCCGGTTCAAATCCCCGAGGCGGCGCTGCCGACGCTCGGGAGGCCGACAAGTTGATGGAAAACAAACCGCTGCCAACGGGAGGAAGGAGGAGAAGAAGAAGAAGAAGAAGAAGAAGAAGAAGAAGAAGAAGCTTGTGACCAACCAGAGATGCAGCAGATGGAGTTTAAAGCTGGACTTCTACATGAAACCAGCACCGGACACATTAACCTGTTGTTTTGGTGCCTTTTGGGGTCATTAGAGTTTAGTTTTAGTCATTTTGCATCTATTTGTGATCATTTTTTATCTCATTGTGCTCATTTTATGTCTCATGTTGGTTGCTTTCTGTCTTTTTGGGTTATTTCCATTTAATTTTAACCAATTTATCGGCTCACTTTGGTCATTTTATGTCTCTTTTTGGTTGTTTTTTGGTCTTTCTTGGTCATTTGCATTTATTTCTGGTCATTTTGCGTCTGTTTGTGGTCAATTTTTTTGGTTTATTTTGGTAGTTTTGGTTGTTTTTTGTGTTGTTGGGTCATTTTCATTACATTTTTGTAATTTGGTCTTAATTTTGTAGATCTTTTTTTGTCTTCTGGGCTGATTTGTATTTGTTTTTGCCTACTGCTGTGAGTCAATTTGGTCATTTTTGTAATTTTATGTCTCACTTTGGCTGCTTTCTGTCTTTTGGGGTTATTTCCACAATATTTCATCAATTCAGTGGGTCAATTTAGATAATTTTATGTCTCATTTTGGTTGTTGTCTTTGTCTTGTCGAGTCATTTGGACACAATTTTGGTGATTTTGCATTTGTCTTGTGGTCATTTTCAATCTTGTTTTGGTAGTTTTTTGTCTTTTCAGCTCAGTTCTGTATGACTTCAATAATTCTGTGTCTTATTTTGGAGGGTAGATTCTTTTCAAGTCTTTTGCATTAAATTTTGGTCTTTTTGACTCTTAGTTTTTTGTCCTTTAGAGTCATTTTGAATCTATTTTTACATATTTAGTGTCATTTTGTGGTCATTTTATTTGTTGTTTTGGTTTAATTCTTTGTCTTGTTGGGTTTTTTGCATTTAATCTTGATCATTTTCCATCTTATTTTAGTTGTTGTCTTGTATTTCCAACAGTTTTTCCAATAACTTGATCTCATTTTGGTGATTTTGCTTCTCTTTTTGTCCCATTTTGGTGATTTTCTTTTGTCTTTTTGGGTCATTTGCATGGGATTTTCTGAATTTTTTGTCTGATTCTGGTCATTTTGTGTCTCTTCGTTGTATTTCGGTTGTTTTTTCGTCGTCTCTTTGGGTCGTGTTGGTCGGGGAGCAGCTGTCATCTGGTTTTCTGGTTCATGCAGCGGCGGATTCAGACTAAAATGTCCAAACTGAGGTTCCTTGTCACTCAGTTTGATCCTCCTTTGTCTGGATACAATACGGATGAAGCTCTAATCCTTCAGACTGGATGGAGGCTGTTATCCTGTTATCGTTGCTGCCGGCTGCTCGGCTGCTCGTTTCACTGTGAACAATAAAGTTCAGTCAAACCCAATCGACTTTATTTATAGAATAAACTCATGAAAACCCAAAAACCAGCTGGCAGGGTGGAAAAAAACACCAAAATGGAGCCATTTATCAGCCAGAAACTGTAAAAACAGAAGAATAGCTGCTTCCTAATGGTCCCTGAATCGACCACAAACAGATGCAAAATGACGAGAATCAAATGCAAATGACCTGAAAAGACAAAAAACCAATCAGAACGAGACACAAGATGAACGAATGATGTGAAACAACCAAAGCTAACGTTAAAAATCACTAAACGAGACACAAAACTAGAAGCAGAATGACTGCAGCTGATTACAAACGACCTGAAAAGACAAAAAACTACTAAAAAAATGAGACACAAAATGAGTAAAGAGACGAAAAAATTACCAGAAACAGACTCGAAATGACCAAAATAAGACGTAGAATGATGACAAGAGAAGGCAAAAAACTAATAAATGAGACAAACAATGACCAAAGTCACGCAAAACAACCAGAATTAAATTCAAATAACCTGAAAAAAACAAAACAAAAACCAAAATGGGAAACAAAATGACCAAAAAGAGACTCAAAATGAACAAAATACGATGCAGAACGACTAAAGTTAAATAAAAATGACCCAAAAAATCACCAAAATGGGACACAGAGACGCAAAACAACCAAATTAAATGCAAAAGACCTAAAAAACAACAACAAACAAACCCTAAAATAACCAAAATGGAACACAAAACGTCCACAACGAGTTGCAAAATGGCTACAAGGCGACTCAAAGTGACCAAAATAAGATGCAGAACGACTAAAGTTAAGTAAAAATGATCCAAAAAGCCAAAAAACAACATCGATGAGGCATATTATGACCACAAAGAGTCACGAAACAACTGCAATTAAATGCAAATGGCCAGAAAAACAACAAAAAACAACTAAAATGGGACATAAAATGACAAAAATAAGATGCAGAATTACTTAACCTGAATAAAAATCAACCGAAAAGCCAACAAACTACCAAAACGAGACACAAAATGACTATAAATAGATGCAAAAATGGCTAAAACTAAGCTCAAATGTCGTGAAAAGCCAAAAAACCCAACCTAAATGAGACATAAAATGGTGCAAAACAACCAGAATT